CTTGACCTTTTTAAAGGCTTGTATGCTCTTCATATGGTAGATTGAGATTTAGATATTTAAATCAATAACTTTTGTTCTAACATATTTGGTGTTGTTTCTTTCAAATCTTGTTTTAGGTTTCATGTTAAACCAATTCATTGGATTAGTCTCGATCAAGCTAATTTTGGAGTGAGTCGTTTTAGGATTTAGGAGTGACCATGATAGATTTTAGGTTTGATTTAAGAGCGATCCATCCTTCTAATCCGACTCTTGGTGAGTTAGTCATTTTTATGAATGTTTGCAGGGATCCTAGAAGGACCTCTAGCTTTGTAAACCCGAGCAACCTTGGCACTTATTATTTGATATCAGACCACTTGGTCGACATCCTTTGGCCGATTCTAGAGGTGGAAATATGTTTATTTTGTGTAATTTTTTCTGTTATTTTCTGAAAGTAATTTCTTACAAAGTGTAATAAGGTATACTAAAACTTATCTTTAAATTCTTTAATCTTTGCTCTCGGATCATTAAAAAAAATCAGAATCAAAAGAAAAAAATCAGTAGTAAAAGAAAGAAAACAATAGCAAAAAAAAAGATCATTTGCATGTCCAATGCACATGAAAAGTTCTTTCTATATTATTTTATTGAGTGAAATATTGGTGAGAAGAGTGGAAAGATTCTTATTATTATTTTATTTTTCTAACAAAATGTCACAAGAAGGAGTACCACCAGTATCACTGGACCTTAATATGGCTATTCTTCAAGCAATTCAAGGTATGATGAAAATGATGAGGGAGGATAGGCAAGAAAGGAGGACACAACAACAAGGAGATGAACGAGGCTTACAAGAAGATGACGGCATATTTGACTTAGCTGAACAAGAAAGACAAGTTAGAAGAGGAGGAAATGTGAGAGGATGAAGAAATAATTCTGCCAACATTATGCAACCTATAAGATTGGAAAGAGTGAATGAAAATATAGATGGTGGAGTTCAACTCCAAATTCCACTCTTTAGTGGAAGGCAAATCCTGAAGCTTACTTGCAAAGGAAGAGGTAGATAGAACGTGTGTTTGATTGCTATACATATAGTGAGAATAAGAAGATTAGGCTTGTCATTGCTAAATTCAGCAATCATGCCGGTGAATAGTATCGACATCTCAAATTTGAGAAAAGACGGAAGGAGGAGGATCCAATAGAAACTTAGGAAGAACTCAAAGAAGCCATGAGAAAGAGGTACGCTCCGAAAAATTATAAAAAAATATTTGTTAACTAAACTGCAAGTTCTGAGGTAGGGAACAAAAAAAGTTGTAAGTATTATCAAGAGATAGAGATTTTAATGGAAAAAAATATAAATCTGAGAAGAAGAGGAAGGCACGATATCTAGATTTCTTGGAGGTTGGCATCGATTGAGAAATTTCTCATCGTATAGATAGAAATCCACCACCTTACTTAGCAGATATGTATCATTATGCTATCAAGATTGAAGATCAATTAAGGGAAGAGAAGCAGCATTAAAAAAGGTACAATTCTAAAACTAACACCTATTCCAATTCTAATACTTGGAACAAGTCTGGTTTTGTAAATAGGAATGAATCAATGCAACCAAAGGGGAAATTTGGCGTTGCCAAAAGAGTGGAGGCCAAGAGTTCCAATAAAAAAAAAAAAGAATGAAGCTTCAAAGGAGGCAAGGGAGAAGACTAATTTTGTTCAATGTTGGAAGTGTAAAGCGTTTGAACACATGAGAAAAGAATGTGTCAATAAAGATGTTATGGTGATAAGAAATGGTGTACTTGATTCAAATGATGATTGTGAGGAACATGATGCAAAATTTGAGGAAGAATTAGAGTATGTTGAAGAAGGCAACTCCACATCTTTGATTACAATAGAGGTACTTAATATTCAAATCAAAGAAGAGAGAGTTGATACTATACATGCTGTTGAAAGTCTCTTAGATAGAAAAGTTTCTCATTTTGAGGAAAGTGAGTTGAAGAAAAAGAGAGAAGGAGAAGAGTTAAGAGAAAGGGATGCAAAGGAGAAAGAAGAGGAAAAGAGCAGGGTTCAATTTATTTGTCCATATAAGCCAAAATTAATGAATTTATTGAACGATGACCTTACCATCCAGCTAAAATATTTTATCCTAGTATTTCTACTTTTAAAAGTTTTTTACAGAAAATTCCAACTCTTCAAATCAAGTGTGGTCAAATACAAGTAGTAATGGAAGCTATGATGGAGCCAACAAGACTTATCCTATTATTTTCTCATGATTTTCATATTGTCTTACCAGGTAAGTACAAAATAAATGTTGATTTTGAAGATATTAACTTGCTTACTAATTGTGTAGGCGATAACCATGGAGGCGAAAGGAAATGTGAAAACTACTTGTTCAAGAAGTTTCCAAGATTGTACTTCAAGGAGTTCAACAAGTTGTGCCAACTCAAAAGACCAAATAATAAAAGACAAAAGAAATTTTAAAGAAAAAAGTAGTAACATATTCATGGAAGAAATCCACAAGTCTTCAACCGCAAAAAGATAATTCACAAGGTAAGGAAAAAGTTATTCAGGCTTATCATTGGAATAACTTGATTTGTTTTGATGTAGGAAATGAAGATCTCGAGTTAAGGAAAAATTCCTTGAAAGAAAGGGGATGATACAAATCCAATTGCATTCATATTACATTTTCAAATGTCGGCTAATGCACAAGAAGAGATGAAGATTATTGAGCCCAAATTTATTTATAATGTTACTACGACGAATGAAGAAGAGAATGACGTGAAGATGACACGAGAAAAGTCATGTAGTTTGAAAGATGGCACGCGGGACAAGAAAAATGGGCAGAAAAGTGAACATGTGCCTTTGTAGATTGCATCTCGAGTTTGTGAAGTCAAAGCTTGTCAAACCTTATTCAAACATGAAGCGCCTCATACATAAAATAATTAAGACAATTTATAACGTTGTTATATTTTTTGTTATGCATTTAGACTCTAGATTGATGTGCAATCAAGTTTTAAATTTGCATGTCTTATTTTCTTCAATTGGCATTTAATTCTTTTTGCAAGACTTTTGGTCTTCAACGTCCTTTGGCCTTCTTAAAGGCTTGTAATGCTTTTCATATGACAGATTCAAATTTAGAGATTTAGATATTGAAATCAAGAACTTTTGTTCCTTAACACATTTGATGTTGTTCTTTCAAATGATCTTGTTTTATGTTTGATGTTAAATCGATTCATTGGATTAGTCCCGATCAAGCTAATTCTGGAGTGAATGATCTTAGGATCTAGGAGTGACCATTATAGATTCTAGGTTTGATTGCAAGGATCCTAGAAAGACCTCTAACTTTGTGAACTCGAGCAACCTTAGCGCTTATCACTTTATTACAGGATGAGGAGTGATACCTCGACGCTAACGATGATTGTGATTCAGAGAATACAGAGTTATACCAACGCTCTATTTTAGGGGATGAGGAGTCCTACCTCAGACACTGACGACGATCTTTTTTATAGGATGAAGAGTTATATTTCGAACATTGGCCGACAATCGTTATTTGAAGGATGAGGAGTTATACCTCAAACCTTGACGGCAATTTTTATTAGGGAATGATGGGTTGTTTTATATCTTAGACCTTGACGATGATCGTTATTAGGGTATGAGGAGTCATACCTCGAACCCTAATGACTTGTTTTATACATGGAGGCTTGTTTCATGCAAACAAAAAGAGATGTATCCAATTTTTTTTCCCTTACCTAAATTGCTCAAGCTAACCATTTTAAGAACTTCTTCTCTCTCTCACTATCACTCACACTGGAATACGGTCATATCGCTCCCTCACTATCACTCACGCTTGTTTCCTCACACTCAAGCTTTGCCACTAGAATTTTGTCAGTCTCATTGTGTTTTGTGATGAGCAAGATGAGAAAAATCCAATCTTATTTTATTTATTGGAATTGTGGATTTCTGGGAAATCTCAATCTTATTCTAAACCAATGAATCTGGGAAACATTGGAAATTTCATGAATTCTAAATCTGGGTTTTGATTCCTTGAGAGAGAAGAAAGGAGAGAGAAGAAGAAATTTCAAACCAGATTATAATAAATTTGGAAACATGCAATCCTGATTTTGGTTTTGGTTTTTAGTGATTCACACTGAATGCCTGTTTAGCATATTTGTTTTTAAAATTTTTTTTGTATTATGTAATCTAAATAGTAGAAATTTAGAAAACAAGAATTTGAAACTTTAAAATGTATAATATATTATAAATTATATTTAAAAAAAATAAAAATTGTGGTAAATATGCTCTTTCATATTATAAATTCATTTCATTTTTTGTTAAAATTAAAATTGGTGAAATATAATATATTATAAATTATAAAATATTAATTCTATAAAATTTGTAACACATGATAAATTAATTAATAATATTTTAGACTGAATTAAATATTTTTAGTACAATTGAACTAAATAAAATATTTAGTTAGTAACTCACCCTAGCTTTTAAATATATTACTGAACACATTAAGTAAATTTACAAATTTACTACTAATTATCAGGATATGAAAATTTCCGTTGACATGTTAAAAATTCCATTGACATATCCATGGTGTGCATGACTTTAACATTAACTTGATGTGAAAATTTACATTCCTATAATATCACAAAAAATTGATTAAATAATACAACAAAATATCATTAATATAAGCATAATATTAATATTATTAATTTTTAACTTATTTAGAAAGTATGAAATGTTTATCTGTTAATTTAAATAATTTTAAATAAATTTTTTTTAATCATTTTAAAAATATCCATCTATATTCACATTTCATCGCATGGACATTTTTCATGAAATTTAGACGTATCTGAAAATATTGGAATTCATAAAAACCAAATTTTTCTAAAAACCGGACCGATCGTATAATTTTTTAGTTCTATCAGGTCAAATTTTCCTACATTGTTGGATTTTGGGGAGGTGAAAAGACATTATTGCCCTTTAAAAAACCTAACTTTTCTCTTAACTCTGCCAAAATCCCACGCCACTCTCTCCATCACGCTTCCCTTCTCTTCCGGCGACTGAGGCGACGCCGGCGAACTCCCAGCCGACCAACACCGGGAACGTCCGGCGACAATTGCGAAATCTTTCAGTTGCGAACAACGGCGAAACGGAACGGGTAGTCAACGGCGGTGCACTCCGGTGAAGCAACGGCAGCGAACTCCTGCGAACTCTTCAAGTGCGTTCTTACTGCAGAAAATTGTTTTAGTTCTTCTTCGGTAAGTCAGCTCTTCTTCTCCTTTCTTCTCTTTAATTTTGTTCTTCTAAGTCTTTTCATCTTCGTAGCTTGAGTTTTCTTGTTTGATTTTGGTATTGCAAAATATTGTTCCTGTACAAGATCTCAAAAATATAATGTAATTGTACAATATCTCAAAAATGTTTTTCCTTATTCTAATTATTGGGATCATTCTTTCAAAATTTGCTTGCTTTTTTGCAGTTTTGGGTGGCTGTAAATGCAACTTTCATCTTTTTCTCAAGTCATTTCACAGAAAATTTGCTGTAATTTTATATTTCTGGTTGATGGTACAAAAACTACTATAGTTATTGTACTTTTACATTGAGGGTAAATACCTTGTTTGGGTTGTTCAGTGACTACCTTTCTGGTTCCTTACTGTTTGTGTACTATAACTGAGTTCGTATGGAGATCACTAATTCTCGTTGTCAGATGACAATAATAAGATATGACTTTTATGATATGTAAATGATAGTTGTATGGGCTTCTGCTGCGCTTCAGTGCAGGACATGACTGTAGTTAGAGTAATATTTTTAAGAGAAGAGGGCTACTACCTTGATACATATTGATGAAAAGATTGTGCCTTTTTGACAAAACTTAAAGTTCATAAGGTTCATTTATGCGAGCGAGGTCGCTTGATGTTGAAGCTAGACGTGTCAAAAGAGTTACCACGGGGATAATTGATTTGTGAAAGCCAAGCTTTCATAGCTGACGTTACTTGGAATTTGAAGCTAGAGTTGCCAAAAAAGTTACTACTGGAATTATTGGCTTGTTCACAGCGACGTTGCTTGGAATTTGAAGCTAGTGGGCTGGTAGCATGATGTTAAACTTAGTTAGGTAGTGTCACTTTGGATGTAGAGGATGAAGGACTTGGTAAAAAAACCCCTCTTTGATTCTGTGCTGCTATGTGTTTTTGGTTTTCCTATATGGTGTGAAGATCAGCATTACTCTTTGTATCTGTAATCAGGTTATATAACCTATCTTTCTTTCTTTGATACTTCCAAGAGTGGGTTTTCATTTCAGTTATTTTTGTCAACTGCTATATCTTTTTTATTTTTTCTTTTTTAGTTCGGGTTCATTTCAATTTTAAATGCTTGAGGTGTTACTTGTGGCATAGTTATTAGGTAAGATTCAAACTGAGGCATGGGCACCAAATTTTTTGCTTGAAAGTTTTATGTATCTTGTGGATTTATGGAATTTTTGAGTGAGTTTTGTCTAACATATCACCATTTTGTTCATGGGATTCTTTCCTACCCTGTGTATATGGCAGTCTTGTTGTTTTGCTTATTTTTTTAATTCAAATTTAAGACTGAAATGTCAATTTATCCCTCAGGTTGATGTCTAACCCATGGATACAATAAAATGTCGACATGTCGATGGATATTTAATACCCTGGTTATTCATATGATTGTCACATTAATGATATTTTGTTCATATTTTTTTATACTTCTTTGATTTTAACAATATGGGATTCATATTACAGGGTAATTAATTTCTTGTGCAAATTTCAGATGCTGAGATTAAATGAATTATAGAATATGGGATTCATATTAAAGACTATGTTGCATATCTTCCTTGGTTTTGTTATAGATTAATAACTTGAAATTTATTCCAGGAACTTCCGTTTTGCTATTCAACAGTTCCTGCTGCTGCCTACTATAATTATGGAGATAAAGACAGATAGTAATGATGGCTCACTGATTTTAATCAAGCAAGGAGCTGAAGCTGTGAGTCGAAACTTCCAGTTGTCCATTAATCTGGGTTGTTCTTTGGAAAATGGAGAACTATGGAAAATGGAATATATGGTTTAAGTTCTTCAAGAGTGAGTTTGGGATGATTTTTGAGAGATTAGTGCTTATTATATAAACAATCTTGAAAGAAACACTAATTAAGATTATTATAGTTTTCAAAACTACTTTTTAACTTTATAACCAAACGCCGTGAAGAATTTGAAAATATTTTCCATCATTCCGAAAGTCATGTCAAACTAATTCTAAGAATTTTAGTGAGATATTGTGATGGTATCTTAGTGGTCTTAAGATATTCTTTTTCATCGTTTGTTCTTATCTTGCAGAGAGTGTTTGAGTCTACTTTTGTTGGAAGGAGATCGATCATTAAGGAACGCTTCTCAAAGAAATATAGACATCCATCACTGGATTCCAAACTCACACTCAAGCGATTGAATGCAGTTTGTTTTCCTTCTTAAGAGACACGTTTTATAGTTAAAGAAGTAACTAGCTAAAAGATTTTCTTTCATATGTTTGACTGAAACTTCATGTTAGGAAGCAAGGTGCATGACAAAAGCTAGGCGACTTGGAGTTTCCACTCCAGTGCTGTATGCTGTTGACCCGACGCTACATACCCTGACATTTGAGTATGTGGAAGGCCGTGCTGTGAAAGATATATTGCTTGAAATCGGATCAAGTGGTGATGGTGCAAAACAGTTGAATGACATTGCAATGCAGATTGGTGTTGCAATTGGAAAGTTGCATGATGGTGGTTTAGCTCATGGTGACTTGACCACATCTAACATGTTGATCAGGAGTGGTACCAATGAACTCGTGAGTGGCATCTTTATTATAGTTTACAAAGAGAGACATTTTAATCTATCTTGCTAGATTTTTAATAATATGATCTCTGTCATAAGGGCAATTGTCTTTTCTCAGGTCCTTATTGATTTTGGTCTGAGCTTTACTTCAACGATTCCAGAAGATAAAGCAGTTGATCTATATGTCTTGGAACGAGCGCTGCTTTCAATGCATTCTTCATGTGGGAATTTGGTAAGTTGTTCCCCTTGCATTTGCTTTGCTATAAAAAATTCTTTCTTATGTTCTTCAATAAGACATTATTTTTCTATAAACAAAAATATTGTGTCTGGCATTGTAGTTTGCTATGCACCTGTTTGTATTGATAGAATTAGTGATTGTAGGAAGAAATGAGAGTTCTTCATCACACTCCGTTTAGGGATTGGGGCCAATTCTTATGGCAGGCAGATGGGTATCTTTAGCTGTTCTATGGGATCTGTGGATCGAGAGAAATAACATGATTTTTAGAGGGGTAGAGAGATCTTGGGAGGATGTTTATGATCGTGTCAGTGTTTTCGAGGCGTAAGGCGCACCGCAAGGCGACATGCCCTTTGATCGCCTTGAGGCGAGAGGCGATACAAAGGCGACACCCAATTGAAGCGAGGCGCACCTTAATAAATAAGTAAAAATTATATATATATTGCATAAATTACCTTAAAAAAATTAATATCAAAATAGTAAATGTCAACAAGATACATAAAACAACCAAATTCTATAAGTTTAGTTCCAAATAAAGACAAGCAACAGCGGAGATTGATGGTGGTGAAGGCTTGAAGCCCGTGAAGGTGAATGTCGAGAGGGAGGGGAGGCAGTGATAGGGTTTGGGTCGCGAAGGGGAGGGTGTTTTACAAAAACAACACATAAAAAATTAAAAAAAAATTTAAAAATAAATAAGGCAGATCGCCCCCTCGAAGGAGGCGATCGCCTTGCCTCAAGCGACAGGCGCACCAAGGCGCCCAAAGGCGAGCGCCCGATTGAAGGCGCTCGCCTGGGCACCTGGGCGAAAACGCCTCGCCTCTCGCCTGAGGCCAGCGCTCGGGTGCGCCTCGAAAACACTAGATCTTGTTCGGTTTCAGGTTTCCCTTTGTGCCTCGGTATCCAAAGCCTTTTGTAATTATTCATTATATTTAATTTTGTTTGATTGAAGCTTGTTGTTTTATTTATTTATTTATTCTTTAAGTAAGAAACTTGTATTTCATTGATGATATGAAATATACAAAAGGCCATAAAGGTAAGTTACAAAAACGCCTTCCAATTTCCTATAAGGCCATTTAAGTTGTAACTAATGAAAGGGGAGTAGAAATATTTACACCATTGTAGGGCGAGTACAATAACTTTATCAAAAAAGATTTCAAAAGGTAGAGAGGAGTTGTTAAAAATCCTATTGTTCCTTTCCATCCACAACCTCCATAGGTAAGCTCTAATGATTTGGGCCCAAAGGATTGCGCTCACTTTTTTGAAAGAGTGACCAGTCATGAGAAAGTTTAGGAAGATCTTTGGGTCATTGTGTAATGCAGTTTGCCACCCAAAAGCTGTTAGAATCTTCTCCCAAAATCTGGATGCGTAGGCACACGTGATAAAGAGGTGACCTTGAGTTTCAGATGCCATATAGCAAAGATGGCAGCAGTTTGGGGAGAGGGCCATGTGTGGTAGCCGTCTTTGGACCCTGTCATGTGTGTTGATCGTGCAATGACTTAGCTCCCAGCAGAAAATCTCGATTTTCTTAGGATATTTCCCATGCCAGATGCTCTGATAGAGGCGAGGAGGCTGGCTATTCTTAGTGGAGGTCTACAGAGAGAAGACAGACTTTGTTCTGTATAGTTTTGTATGATCCTGTCTCCATATCCATTCATCGTCGATTGGGGAGGGACAAAGCTGTTTAGAACTTGTGTAAGTTGCAGCCAATCCTCTAACTCTTCATCTCTATGGTCGGCGAAAGTTGTAATTCCAAGATGCTGTGGTCGTGGACCAAAGATCCATGATTTTGGCGTCTTTGTTCATGGTGATAGCGTAGAGTCTGCAGAAGCGGGCGGTCAAAATTTCTGAATTTAACCAATTATCATTCCAGAAGCTTAGTTGGCTGTTTTCTCCAATATGGCAGTAGGCATTTGCCTTAATAATGTGTGTTTGCTGAAGGATAGCACACCAAGGGCCTTTGTATAAGCTGAATCGGTTTGGGGGCCAGATTGCTGAGGGGTCCCACCATACTTTGCCAAAATGTATTTCCTCCAAAGCTGATTTGCCTCTGTAATAAAGCGCCAAATGCACTTGGACAGCAGTGCGATGTTTCTTTTCTTAATTTGCCTCTCGTTGTTTTAGTTTGGCTCTTTTTTATGCTCTTTTGCTTTGTTTCATTCTACTTGATTAAAGTTCGGTTTTTTCTCCCAAAAATAAAATGAAAAAATAAGAGTTATATTCTACTGAATTGAAGGAAAGTACCCGAATAGATGTACGTGTAGCCGAAACTTGAGACCCCTTAGCTTCTCTCCTGCAAGCTAAGATCAGCTGAATAACTGAAGAAGTTAATAAACTTCCCAGTTTCTGTTAAATGTATTTTGGCCCATCTTGCATGCAACTTTATCATTATCTCATGCCCCCTTGCCCATTCCTCCAACTATTCTCTCTATATATTGCCAATCCTAGAAACTACTCGAAAAGATTTAACTAGAAATTGAGATTCGTCCTTGGATTTTTAGATGAGTTAGAGAGATCTTGAAGAGGATGTTTGAGCTCTGGTTCTTTTTCATGTCTCCCTTTTGGGCTTGGTGTCCAAAGCCTTTTGTTTTTCTTTGTTAGGTTTGATCGATTGGAGCCCCCTTTTAGTTTGCCTCCCTTTTGTTGGGCGGTTTATTTATACGCCTTTTTGTTTCATTTCCTTGTCATCAATGACAGTTCAGTCTTTTCTTAAAAAAGAAATTGAGATTTGCAACTTTACTGCTATCTCATGCCCCTTGCCCACATATTCTAACTATTCTCTATATAATTCTTCATTTTCTCTTATTCATAACTTTCCTGAATTACCCTTATATCAGTTGAATGTTTGCTAATCTCGGTCTAATTATTAAAATATACAAGTTAGGGTAGGAGTCCTATCATAATTCTAGAATGGGGATTCCCTCGCTAAGAAGTTTAGATACTGACACGAGACACAGATATGACACGAAACAGGCACAATAATATGTAATTTTCTAAAGATCTAGGACACAAACACGTTTCTTAAAATATATTTCATTTTTATACCATAAGGAAATTCAAAGTCCATAAGTTTTATGCATTTTTATACTTAAAAAAATAAGTTTGTTATATTTTTTTCTCGAAATTTTGTTATTATGTCCCATATCACTATGTCTATTTTTTATTCTTAACAAGTGTTCAATACATGCCTATAACAAGTGTCAAAGTAGAGTAATTTTGGCATTGTAATCTATAACTACTTGTTATTGACAAATTGGGTTGAAATGAAATTCAAATCAATGTACTTTGATGGTTGTACATATTGTATAGATGGAGCTGATTCTTGCTTCATACCGAAAGACGTCGAAACAATGGTCATCGACCTCAAACAAATTAGCTCAAGGTAGCAAACCCCGACTTTTATCATTCACTTTTTTACTTTCATATCAATTTCATTGCTATGATTCATTAGTTTACTTTTCTTGTTTTCACATTGATGCACATACAGTTCGTCAGAGAGGCCGAAAACGTACGATGGTTGGTTAAGATCTTTCTTTTTGGTCTGTTTGTTGAATTATTTGTAGACTCATTGAACTTTAACAGTGTATTATTATTAACCTTACAATAACTATTTTTTTCGTAATTGTTAGTTTGTGGAAAAAACTTGTATTTACTATTTGGTTTTAGTAAACAGTAATAGTGATTTAGTATTCTTCAACAATTATAATTTTGGCGCTTGCTATGCTACTACCTCTAGGAAGGATTAAAAAGAAAGATAAATCGACAAAATAATACTCTAATCAGATCGAACCGAATCGAATCGACAATAAAACGTGTGTCATTTTTAAACAAAATTTAAACTAACTGGTTTACCCCTTAATGTTCTTATGAGTGATATAGTTTTATAGATACTTTTTGAAATTATATATGTAAATATCTCTACTTCTTAGGTCAGGATGATGAATTTCTAACATACAATATTTATTTCAAAATTTGTTGAAACAGTGATTTATTTTTATAATTTTAATTCAAAGTAGATTCAAAATAAGGCATTTATCCCCACCTCATATTGAACTTGAACTAAAAATAATAATAATATTAAATAATTAATTGATTAATTAAAAAAAATTAATGCAGTAGACATAATTTATTTGGTAACTAATCCCATCAAAATCTCATTTTGAAAGAGCAATTAGGATTTGAAGATTTGATTGTAGTAGCTAAAATTCAAATGTAATGAGCATATAAAGGAAAAATCACCATTTTGCTCTTTGAACTTTGGATGATAATTCTATTGGTTTTTAGATTCCAAAATCATACATTTTTGCCCCTAAGAAATACTCTAGTTTAGTAGCTTTCATTAGAAATATGATGTAACATATTTTATAAAAGGAAAAATGGGTGACTTCGTTCACAATATTTTTATAAAGTTTAAATAGATTCATATTCAACAGTGTCATTGCATAATAATATTGTTTAGTCACATCACATTTAATATAAACGGATTGTTTTTATATGCTTAAATTCCCCAATCTAGTAGGGGTGTACACAGGTTGGGTTGGATCGGGTTCAAGGGGCTTTTTGGACCAACCTAAACTTTCGGGTTGGTTGCTCAGTGACTCGATAGTTCCAAATTTATTGGGTTGGGTTGGATCATCGGGTTGCTTCTCTTTTT